CAGGCGTTCCTGGGCCCCGAGAACCCCGAGGAGCCGTACCTGGACGGGATCAATTACAATTGCGTGGCCCCCGGGAAGCGATTCCGGCCCATGGACAACCTGTCCGGGGGGGAGAAAACCGTGGCTGCGCTGGCCCTGCTCTTCGCCATCCACAGGTGGGACCCCAAAACCCCCGGGGGGACCCCGAAATCCGGGGGGACCCCGAAATCCCTGGGAAAATCCCAAAATCCCAAGGGAAATCTCAAAAACTGCAATGGAAATATCAAAATCCCAAAGGTGGGACCCCAAATCCTCCCAAAATCCCTCTCCTCTGGCTGTGCTTGCCCTGCTCTTCGCCATCCACAGGTGGGACCCCAAAAACCCCCGGGGGGACCCCAAAAACCCCCGGGGGGACCCCGAAATCTGGGGGGAAATCCCAAAATCCCGAGAGAAATCCCAAAATCCCTGGGGAAATCCCAAAATCCTGGGGAAAATCTCAAAAATTTCAGGGAAGCTCCCCTGGCCCTGCTCTTCACCATCCACAGGTGGGACCCCAAAAACACCCGGGGGGACCCCAAAAATCCCTGGGGAAATCCCGAAATCCTAAGGGAAATCCCAAACACTGCAAGGGAAATCCCAAAATCCCGAGAGAAATCCCAAAATCCGGGGGAAAATCCCAAAAACTGCAATGGAAATCCCAAAATTCTCCCCCACCTTTGGCTGCCCTGGCCTTGCTCTTCGCCATCCACAGGTGGGACCCCAAAATCCATCTGGGGGGACCCCGAAATCCCGAGAGAAATCCCAAAATCCCAAAATCCCGAGAGAAATCCCAAAATCCTGGGGAAAATCCTAAAAACTGCAATGGAAATCCCAAAATCCCCCCCTTTGGCTGTGCTTGCCCTGCTCTTTGCCATCCACAGGTGGGACCCCAAAACCCCCGGGGGGCACCCCAAAAACACCCAGGGGGACCCCAAAATCCCTGGGGAAATCCCAAAATCCTAAGGGAAATCCCAAAAACTGCAAGGGAAATCCCAAAATCCCGAGAGAAATCCCCAAAAATCCCCCCCTTTTGGCTGCTCTTGGCCACCCACAGGTGGGACCCCAAAATCCCCCGGGGGGCACCCCAAAAACACCCGGGGGGACCCCAAAATCCCTGGGGAAATCCCAAAAGCCCAGGGGGAACCCCAAAACTGGGGCCGACTCCTTTTGGGTTGCCCCAGTTTTGGGGTCTAAGCCCAGTTTTGGGGCGCCCCATTTTGGGGGTTCTGTTTTGGGGTGCCCCGTTTTTGGGATTCCAAATTTTGGGGGTCTCACCCAGTTTTGGGGTTCCCCAGTTTTGGGGGTCTCACCCAGTTTCAGGGTTCTCCAGTTTGGGGTTCCCCATTTTTGGGTGCCCAGTTTCGGGGTTCCCATTTTTGGGGTGTCCAGTTTGGGTTCCCCAGTTTCAGGGTCTCACCCAGTTTGGGGTTCCCCATTTTGGGGGTTCCCATTTTCGGGGTCTCACCCAGTTTTGGGGTGCCCCATTTGGGGGTTCCCCATTTTGGGGTGTCCAGTTTTGGGGTCTCACCCAGTTTTGGGGTTCCCCAGTTTCGGGGTCTCACCCATTTTCGGGATGGCCTGTTTTTGGGGTTCCCATTTTCAGGATGTCCTGTTTTTGGGGTTCCCCATTTCGGGGTCTCACCCATTTTTGGGGTTCCCCATTTTTTGGCATCCCCATTTTTGGGGTTCCCCATTTTGGGGGTTCCCCATTTTTGGGTGCCCAGTTTCGGGGTCTCACCCAGTTTTGGGATGCTCTGTTTTCGGGGGTCTCACCCATTTTGGGGTTCCCCATTTCGGGTTCCCCAGTTTTGGGGTCTCACCCAGTTTAGGGTTCCCCAGTTTTGGGGTTCCCC